ACGTTCTGATGCCCATTTCTTTGAATATTGCAAAGATCCTTGTCAGTGACATTTGGTGTTATTTCCACACACCTCTTTTTCAATAACTTGTACGATTAAGAAAGCCTATCAGCTATCCAAAGCTGTCCTGAGTACTGCTCCAGTGTGTTTCCATTCCAGACCTACCTAGTCTATTCTGTCAGCTTTTGTCAAGTGTTATGTCTTAGATGTGAGAACCAAAAGTGATGTTTCTTGTGAGAGAGGTGTTCTTCACAATTTGCTTAAAGACTTCATTTCCATTATCCTTCAGTTAGGCCAGTTTGATAATGTTCCATTTCTATGACAGCACAGAGAACATGAATAAGAAAGACAAGGTGCTTACCAGTTATGGTAACAGATAAGTGGTCTTCTGTGTACCTGTGCAACCCATTCACTCTGATGTCCATGCACCTTTTGAGGCATGGACATACTGCAAGGAATTCCAGATCAGATTGGTTGGGCTCAGCTTCTCCTTTTTAAGTTTTAGCAGTTTCAGAGATCCTAGGTCACTGATCTTGGGATCTGTGCACTGGGACAGATCCCATATGTGTGAATGCACAGAAAATCATGCAGAGTATACTGGTAAGCAGCTTCTCCTTCCTGAGACTGGAAGGGAATCAGCCACAAGAAAGCAGCATATCTTGAGTACTGCAGAAAAACAACTGTGTACCTAAGACTTAAATCCTAGATCAGGATAAAGGACTTGTTTTTTTTTTTTTTGTTTTTTTATGAAAATATGAGCAAATTTGTCTCAATTAATGAGGCGCACATCTGTCCTGGTTGCAGAAATAACTATATGTCTTGGATTTCGTTATGGTGTAAGTAACTAAACTGATGATGGGATTTGTGGCTGTGAGGTTACTCACAGTGATTAAAAGAAAAATTTTCTATTCTGTTAAAGCATATGTGTGAACACCTGTAATTTTAATATAAACTCAGTAAGGAGTTTAAGTATTTCCTGAATAAGACAAACAAAACAACTGTATCTGGATGATGGAGCTAGTGCATCAGAGGGGCCACATGGCCAAAAAAAAAAAAAAAAGCAAATACTGACTGGGTTTGTACAATCATGGAGGGAACATAGAAACATAGAAACAGAGCAAGTTAGAAGGGGTCTCTTGGGCCATCTAGTCTGACCCCCAGCTCCAGCCGGCTCTGCTCACGACATGCCCACCATGTGCATGTCCAGCCTATCTTTGAACACCCTCACTGATGGGGCATCAATGACCTCTCGTGGAAGCCCATTCCATACCCTCGGGGTCCTAAATGTCAGGAATTGCTTCCTGGTGTCTAAATAGAACCTTGGTTCCCTGAGCTCCCTGAGTGCGTCCTGCCTTCCTCTGCAGGGGAGAACAGGTCTCTACCCATCTCCGTGTGACATCCCCTCACATACCTGTATGTCGCCAACAGATCCCCTCTGAGTCTCCTCTTCTCCAGGCTGAAGAGACTCAGTTCCCTCAGTATTGCCTCATATGGCATCCCCTGCAAACCGGCCACCAACCTTGTGACCCTACGCTGCACTGACTCTAACCTGGCTATATTCTTCCTGTAATGAGGGGCCCAAAACTGAGCACAATACTCCAGTTGCAGGCACACCAGAGTCATATAGAGTGGTAGTAATACCTCTTTTGATCTTTCCCGTCCCTGCACATGCCAGCCACAAGCTGCCTAATTAGTGTAATTAGGTTGTCAAGATGTGTGAGCCTGGTGAAAGTTAGACTGGGTGGTTTCTCAAACACTTTTCTGCAAAATAAGGATAACTTTCTCAAACTGATACTGGATCTTCAAGAGTAGTTTCCAGAAGATACACATTCTTCTGCATTGTTGATCACTTATACAGAACCTAAAATTGTCTTGAAGTCATGTTGGTTCTTGTCTGAGGGTTTGCAATCTAATAGATACAATATAAAAGGAAAATGGAGAAATGGGAAGAAACAACAGCAGCAGCTTCTCTGGCCAATGTAAGAGGTTGAGTTGGTCCTTTTCTTGCTTGTTGTTAGTCACAAAGTTGTGCCCGACTCATCACAACCCCATGGACAACATTCCTTCAGGCTCTCCTGTCCACCATCCCTTGGAGTCCGTCCAAGCTCACACACAGATATGGTGTAAAACTTTCTCTCCTGTTCTCAAATGGCTACCAGTAAGAAGTGAAGAAAATGGAAATGTTCTGTTAAGTTTCTGCTCTTAATTACAATGAAGAACAGCCAATGGGTATGAATCTGCTAAATGATCAGCTTTGCATTTTCTCACTTTTTTAATTTTTAGATTTCTTTGGACATTGGTGCCAAAGTAATCCCTTGTACATCTCTAGGCCCTGGACAGCATCATTTGGGATTTCATTTAGGATTGCTTTCACCATTTGGTTCAGTGATAGACCTTTCTGGGGCACTGTTGTTTTAGACATGGAGAAAGTTGACCTGTCATGCATTTTATCCACTCATTGTTAGGGTAATTAATGGATTATCATAATTACAACACTCCCTCATTCCTATACCTTCCTGATTTCATTTTATGTTGCAAGATCTTGCTGAATATCCTGCTGAGGAGAACAATAGCACTTTCTTTGTACTAAATTAGGTTTGGAAGTCACCATTCTTACCCACAGTGCTTCTGTGGAGGAGTCTTCTCCAGTTAGGTTTTTTTGTCTGCTTGACATTATATAGAACTTTGGAAGAGATGCCCTTAGCCCATTGGTTCTTTCCATTGCACCAGGTTTCTACATTGGCGTCTTTAAAATGTTCCAGTTCTCCCATTTTGTCTTGGAGTCTTCTAACATCTGCATAGAATCAGCTAGATACAGTGTTTCTCCCCTGATGTTTCTGGTACTTGCCTCATCCAGTATGTCAGTTAGGCTTCTATAACTAGCTATCATGCTTCACCTCATGCTCGTGGCCTATTTCCTCCCTTTTCTCACTTGGGCAATTGAAAACATTTGCATCTTCATCTTCTAGGGTTAAGATGATCCTCTAGTGATCTGGTTCTCTTCTGTTGGTTGGGCTTCTTCTCATCCTCTGCCCTGGTTTATGAAGTGAGCCAAGCTGAGAGAAATGCTTGCAGAACTCCAGTTGTGCACCTGTCAACCTTCTTCCACAGCACATGCAGCACAAAGGTCACAAGTTACATGCTTAGAAGAGGAATGCTGCTTGCATAGCATTTGTGCACATTTGATTCCTAGAAAGTGCTCCCATTTGATGTTCGTGACACCAAATCAGACTCACACTCATGAGAAAGTGAATCAGAGTCTGGGGAGTCAATCCAAGGGAGTCTAACAGTCTTACCTCCAGAGCAGAGTCCGCAACACATCCCTACCCATTGGTGTTCCACCCAGCATTCAGTCTAAAAGCTGCTCTGCCACCCTTTTTATACTTGGCTTCAGCAGTTTATTGAAATGGAACACATGCTGCTTGTATAAACCCATCTGGTTCCCAGACATTTCCCACTACCTCCTTTCTGTATGGCTGTCTCATCTGTGTATTGAGACCCATCACCTTCACCAGACTTGCTGGTCCTGTGTGTGGAACATTGCAGAGAAAGCCACCTAGATTTTGGCCTTCTACCTAGCAACTTAAATTTGACTTCCAGGACTTTATGACTTATATTTTCCCATGTATATAAAATATATTAGTATGGATCACAATCACTGATTTCAGTGACTCCCACTATCATGTCACACCCTCAAAGGAATGTGTGGCTTCTAGAAGATCATTTCCTGGTCTTGTCTGCCAATCTGTTTTTCTTAACTTTACCAGTTCAGAAACCTTCATTTTTAAGACTTAAGCACACACCTAGGATTTCTGACTGGGCTGGGAGATAGTTATGCATGTGGCAGTAAATGTATACATTGGATATCCCCACCTTGCTGCTGGCTTTCTGCCTTTAAAAATTTAAACATACTGGGTTTACAAGGAAAATGTAAGTTATTTACTAGGAGAAGGTGGGGAAATTCTTTATAGTTAACTTAGTAATTAGAAGACAGAAGATTCTACTGCCATGGCCTTCTCATCCTATTGTGCTGCCACTTTATTACTGGAATTGAGTTGCTTTGTCGTTGGGGCTGCTAATGCTCAGAGTACTGGCTCCCTTGCAAACCTGCCTCCTTATATAAGTTAACTGGCCCCAATAGCTGTTGCTCTGACTTAAGGGCTTTATTTAAAAAGCAAGGGAGGGAATGGATAAACTACTGTTCGGCAGTAGCTTACAGAGAATGGAAATCAGTTGAGCCCCCTGGGAATAGAGGTTTTCTAATCAGGGCAGAGGATGGTTGGGAAGGACACAACAAGGGAAGGTGATATTGGAGTGTAGCTTAGGCTCCCCTAGGAATACATGATGCTGAGGGGTACCTTATTTCAAAAAGGGATGAATTCCCTTTTTGTGTTGCATGCTACATAGTGTAATGGAACACAGAATGCTGCCTAATAGCAGATCAGACTAGATTTGTCCACCGAGAGCAATATTATATACTGTGTAGAAAATGGCTGTTTGGAGTTCTTTCCTAACATCCTGCTAATTGATGTTTTCTAGTTAGAGATGTCAGGGTTTGGACTTTCTGCAATGAAAGCATGTGGTCTACCTTTAACAAGTTCTTGCTTAACATCATTGATGACAAACGATGCCCAGCTGAGAGGCCTCCATGAACTCCTGTAGTAGATTCTTTTCCCATAGGTGAAGAGCCTTATAAAGCATATGTGTAAACACCTGTCACGTTCATATAAGCTGAGGAATCTCTTTGGTGAACCACATTAAATTGGGCATTCTTTTTATGTCAGTGTAACCTTACCCCCCCCCCCCCCATATCTACTACTCATTTTTTTTCCTTTTTGTTTCTGATAGATCCTGGCTTACAGCTGATTCCTTTCGAAACTCAACCATCCAATTTTCCTTCAGAATTTAGAGAAGGCTCTTGGGCATGTCAGTGTTGGAATTTGTCAGCTTTCCTTTTCTTGCCTTTTCATTTTCTGTTTTTATTTTGTCATACCTTTTAGAACTGGATGGAACTGAAGAAGTTCACTCAGCATCTCAACAGCAGGAAGTTACATCCAAAAATATTACTGAGGAGGAGCTTGAAGACTGGTTAGACAGCATGATCTCCTAAGGCCTGTATTTTGGTTGTCATACAAGTAACTCAAGAATAAACTAACTTGGCAGTAGCTAGGTATAAAATATCTATTTACAAATAGCTGCTTCATCTTGAATGTTACATGTAGTTATGCTTCATATGTAGTTATATTTTCCAGACAAAAGAGTTCTTTGCACCCAAGTGTCTAAAGAAATGTAATAAAATTTGAAATTCTTTGAAGGTGGCTTTGGCTGCAAATGAATACATACAATGGAACAATTTTGGTTTTGCAAAATAAAATAGTGCTAATATATATGGTTGTGTATAGATGATATAGTTTGTGGTGTGACTTCTGTTAGGTGCATAATTCAAAGAAATATGATGAACATGGAAGTTTTGTTTTGTAAATTCTTTATTGCACTGGATATTTTTATTAGAAAGAAAAATGCATAAACATGGCAATAGTACCACTAATTTACCAAAAAGCATCAATTTTATTTGGCCTAAAATTTAATTTTGTAAGGTTGTGAGACAGTGTTTTAATCAGCTGCATCTAATAAGCTGTTCTGGACCAGATATATGACTAATCTTCAAGTATCTCATACAGTAAGACAGGAAAGCAACACAACTAATTAACAAAAATGTCAATCTAAAAGGCCAACATTAAAAAAAATTGCATAGCTATGTCTGCAAGGTTTAAGGCACTTAATTAGGATTTTAGGGACAATAAAGATTTCAAAAGTTTTACACATTGAAGTATTTAAAACTTTCTACTGCTATTGTTTACTAAGAAATGACATGGGGGCTGTCAATATTTCAATATATCATAACATGACTCAACAACTGTGGCATTGTCACTTGACAACTTAACTTTTTTAAGTTGCAGATGTTGTGTATGTAAATTATATAGCCCTTTCAACTACACTGTTTCCTATTCCACAAGGTTTGAGATAAGCACATATCATTTCTGAACCAGAAAATGGAATTGAAATATTTAAGCATTTTTGTATTTTTCCAATAAGGTCTGCTTCTGCTAGATGCAAAAAGCCCAGTTTGAATCATCAAAAATCAAGCAAATTACATAACAGTATGGAGGGATTAAACAGATGCAATGTCTATATTAGGCCATTGAATGGCAAGGGTTTTTTTGTTTTGATGTTGTTGAGTGCAATATTTCATTTGTTGATAAGTTTATCCAAGTTGATCTTCATACTGTTTACGAAAGCAATCTCCAGCTGGGAAGAAATCCCAGCATCTTTCTTGATACATTTTCCACACATATGACTCCTGCAAGACAAGTATTTTTCAATGTTTGAAAAAAATCCATGGAGAAAATCTGTTTCCCTGTGATTATATCTATTCCAAGATATGTAAAGTTTCCACAGGCAACTTCTGTTATTAGATAGCAGTTCCAGAAAGGGAGCTGCTATCTAATACCATTCTGGATACCATTCCAGAAAGGGAGTGTGCCAATGAGCAGGGAAGAAAAGAGAAGGGTGTGGAACCACAACCATCTGCATGGCCATTCCTACCCCCAAGAAGCAGAACATGCCTCTAAAGCCATCTATATCTAAAGATCTGTCATTCCTTCTGCTAGAATAGGCAAGGATAGGTCTATTGTTGGAGCCCTCTCTCTCTCTAGTCAGCCCAGTTGGATTGTGCTCAGTTTATGCTAAGTTGGTTTGATTGAGTATTGCTGAAAATAGCTATGGTAACTGGCTTATTTTAATTCTAGTAGCTTACACGTTCAAGATAAACTCACTTGAGTGCCTCATCATCCACTTGAGTAAAAAGCAGTTTATGAATTTGTAGCTTTGGTAGAATTTAAAATCTTCAAGAACTATGTAAAAATCATGTTGTCAAATGAGAATAACTTAAAATCTTAGGTGAGAGCTTGTTCAGGCACCTTTTTGTGGTTTTGTTTGGTGTTTGCTAACATGAGTTGTACCAGTACCCCCTGCATTACTTATTTGTGTATGCAGCTGTAATGCGCATCAAGACCACACAAGTTGTGCCGAGGCTCAGCTGTCTTGTACTGAGATTTATGTACCACCATCCTGCCACCCCTTCCTTCTGTCCTTCCCTCCCTATTCCATCTCCTAAATTCACCCTTATCTGGATTGATGATCCTATTTTGCTCTCACAGGTCTTGTTCACTATTAGATGCAGTAATTAATGTATACCTACTTGTCCAGTGTGTTCAGTTTCATCCTTATTAATGAGATACATCAGAAAGAACCTAGAAGAAGAATATGAAACTACACATGATGTTTTAACTGTAGAGTCCTGTTTATGTTTCTTGAAGTAGCTAAAAAGGAAATGTCTTAAACTTCATTTGCTGGTTCATTACTGAAAGCCTCCCCATCTTCTAATATTTATAAAAGTCCTTAAAATATATTGGACATTAATAAAGGTAAAACTAAACAGGTCTATGTCCACAGGTTCACAGTCCAAATAAAGCTGACATATCCAATAAGAAATACAAAAAGAGGAAAAGCAAATAATTCATGGGTAAATGAAACAGATCTACTGAATCAAATCCAAAGCCCTGCCAGCTTGCTGCAATCAGGTCAAAGTGGTGATGGCTTTCTATTTTTCCTTTCAGATTATTCTCTTTTCATCAATCAACTTCATTTCAGGGCCTTTTTAGGGGCATGTTGCAGAACCAAGGAAGCATGAGATCTGCATATCTATGGCATTACCTGACATTCCCCACTTCAGCCCCCACTGGTAGCAGAAAGTCAGATTGCTTACCTCTAATTTTTTTCAAGTGGTCATCTGTGCATTCACAGATGACCACTTGAAATTATAACCCTAGAAGTCGAAGTCTTAACCCTTTCCTCACCCATGGAAGCCAGGGAGCCTGTTTTATGTTACAGAGCTGCCACCCTCTCCTGCTGGTATATAAGGAAGGGCTCTCACCATTTTCCCAGTTCAAGGGGACCAGCATTTTGCCCTCAGAACCAGGAAGGAAGGGCTGGTCATGGCTCAACCCATACCAATCCATTATGGATCTTTAGAAGGGGAAAAAGGGTATAGAAGATCAGGAATGTTGTTAGCACTCTCACAGAGCCAGTAGTTGGGTTGTATGAATGCACAGGGGACCACTTGAAGAACATCAGTTACAAGTAAGCAACCTGTACTTTCTTTTTCATGGTCTCTGTGCATCACACATGTGGGCAATCAGCGAGTTTACATTTGAGTGGAGGTGGTGAGGTATCAGTGGAGGACCACTTGACCAAAGGCACAGTCTTGTCTGGCACAGACATCAAGCCAGTGCTGTTGGATACAGCTTGATGGATGGACCACGTAGCTGCTCTGCATAGCTCTTGTAGTGAAATGCCAGCATGCAGTGTCATAAATGTCACCATTGCTCTTGTAGAATGTGCTATTGGTTGGTCAGGTACTTGTAGCCCAGCCAGTCAGGCTAGTTTGATAGCCTCAGTGATACAGTGGACAAGTTGCTGAATACTGATAGGTTTGCCTTTTGATCATTTACTGTATGATAAAAAGTCTGTGACTGGCAGAAGGACTTTGTTTGGGACCAATCGAATACTAGTGCTCTTTGCACACTGAGGGCATGAAGAGCCAATTCCACCTGATTTAGGTAGAAGTGACTTTTGGCTGATTAATGGCAAACTGCTTTGTCCTTATGAAAAAATAAGGAATGGTGGGTCAATCTGTAACTATTTGCTTGCTCTTCTGGCTGATGTAATCACTACTAATGTGACCTTACAGGAGAGAAGATGTAGATCCACAGTGGCCAGGGATTCAAATGAGGGTCTTGTGAGCTCTTGAAGAACCACTGATAGGCTCCATCCAAGCACAATGGAACAAATGGGAGGTGTAAGGTTGTGCAGACATCTGAGGAACCGACGGGATAGAGGATGTGAGAAGATGGAAAAAATTTTGACCATCTTGTGGAAAGCAGGGATTGCCTCCAAATAGACTTTGTTTCAGGCCCTTGTAGTGGAGTGAGTGTAGGAACTTGAGGATTTATTGATCATCTGGTGTGGATCCAAGTTTTCTCCTTGAGCAAAAGTCACAAATCTGTTCCATTTGGTGTTACAGGAACGCCATGTGTTCAGCTGTAATGCTATATCTAGGACCAAACTGATTGGATCTTGGGAAAAATGGGGCTTCTAAAGTTATTGGCTGACCTTCCATGCCATCAGCTGGATGGTCCCAACATCCAGATGCAAGATTATTCCTTAGTCCCAAGAGATAATGTCTGGTCACGTCAGCAGGCAGATGAAGGTTTGATTTGATAGAAACAGGTGGGTGAACCTTGCCTTTTGTGGCCACCACAGGATGAAGGAGGTATTTCCTCTCTAGATCTTCACCAGCATCCTGAAGGGAATCGTGGGAACAGGTAGAAAAACATCCCTTCCCGTCAGAGAAGGAATGCATCTTCCAGCAAACCGTGGCTGACCCTGGCATGGGAGCAGAACATCTTGCATACTGCATTGGCTGGCATTGTAAAAAGGTCCACAGAAGTGATCCACCAGAGCTACAAGAGCTGTTTTAAGATGTCTGGGTGGAGTTCCTATGTGTGAGTCTCTTTGGACCTCTTGCTTAAGTCATCTGCTGTGGTATTTTGGGTCTTGACTAGATCAATGGCCATGATGGTGATGCTGTGTTGCAGACAACAGTCCCAGATGAGTAATGTGAAACAGGGAGATGCAGACCTTGTGCCACCTTTATTATTCAGATAGAACACCATCATAGTGTTTGAGGCATCTGAATGTGCTTGCCTTTCAGGATGGGCTGGAAGACAATCAAAGCCTTCTGGACCATGAGAAGCTCAAGGTAACTGATGTGATTTGAGTAATCCCAATCAGCCCACAATCTAGTAATACCGGGCTCGAGCTGGGGCCATAGAGCACAATTGATCAATGCCACTGCTCTGTCTGTAGGAAGGTAAGCCCATTAAGAAATCCAGTGTTGTCCCAGTGTGGAGGATTGACTGGGAGGTGAGAAGTACAGATTGTTAATTGTGCATTTTTAATGCACACTTTCAGAATAGTTTGCATGTTCTTCCCAGGATGGAACAACAGTAGCCAGTCATCCAGATAAGGAAGAACCTGAATTCCTGGCCATACCCTTGGTGCAGACTCGAGGGGCTCTGGAAAGGCTGAACAGAACCATTGGTTCCGATGGGGAACTGGAGAAAATGCCAATAGTCTTGATGAATAGACACATGGAAATATGTGACCTTCAGATTAATCGAGGTGAACCGGTCCCCTTGGCACATCAATGGCAGAAGTTTCTGCAGCAAGACCATGCAGAATTTCTTGTGGGGGTATAATAGTTCATGTCTCACAGGTCTAACATGGAGTGGAGGCCACTGTCCTTAGGAATGAGGAAGTACCACCAAAACAGGAACTGGATGGAGAAACAAGTCAGATTATCCCCTTACAAGTCAGAACATGGCAACCTCCACAGTCAAAGTGGGAGAGCAGACTGTAGTTCATATGGTTCTGAGAGGTGGAAAGATTATATGCAGTATCCATTCTCCACAATGGAGAGGACTCACCGATATGTCATTATGGATTGCCATTTGTGAAGATGATCAGGCAGCCTTTGGACCAGACTTGTGCCAATGGAATGGGACTGGCTGATGGTGGTAGTCAGTGGCATTGCCTCTCAATCTGCATCTCTTGTTAGGCTGCTGGAAACGGAAGGCATCTCATTGGTGCATGGAAAGATGGTATTGACCCTGGCTCACATGCCCTTGATAGTTGAGATGGAACAAAACTCCCCCTCCCACACCCACCGCTGCTATTGCTCTAGGCTTCTGGATACTATTCAGTTTCTCATTGGTTCATGTATTGAAGAGTCCTTCTCTGTCAAAAGATAGCTCTTCAATACAGGACTGTTATCTCTTTGAAAAGGCTAGCTGCCTGAAGCCAGGTGTGTTGCCAAATTACCACTACACAAATTGTCACAAAGTGCCCTGGAATCACAATTGATGCAGTGATGAACAGTATAATTTGCTACCTTAATGTTGAAGGGCCTCTGCCTGGAATACCCTAGCCAGTTCGCGGTGTTGTTCCAGAAGGAACTCAGGGCATCCATCTTCTCCCATAGGAAGACTTGATATCTTCTCATGGTGCCCTCATAGATTGATACCTGAAGATCTAGTCCCATTGCTGCATAGACCCTCCACACAATGGCGTCCAGGCAGTGTCCCTCTCAGTCAGCTGGAGTGGTGTGCTCCCTCTATGTCTGACCCTGTGCTGACTATACAGTGACTGAGTTCAGCGGTAGATGGTAGAGCAGGAATGGGATGTCCCTCTTCTGGACCTGGTAAAGCTCTCCAAATGTTGGCTGTGGCTGTATTGGGGCCTTTCACAGTTTCTTCCTGCTGTGAAGTAGTGTGGGAAGGAACATAATGGTCACCAGCACAGCTTTCCCCATCCAGATGATGTTGGAGACTAGATCTACCAGTGGCTCAGTGAGGCAGTGGAACCGGACCAGAGTGGAGGCAGTGGAACTGTCAGCATGGACATCTATGGTCCCCACAGTTTCATCAAGTGGTAAGGAGACCACTGATGGATCCTTTCAACATGGTGGGACAGTTCCACTGGTGGTGGCAGTGCCCAGTATGGTTCTCAAACCCAGGCTATCTTTGGTGGTCAGTGACTCAAGGCTTGGGATGTTGTTGGAGAGATCATCCTATGCGATGGACAAGCTACTGGGCTGGACAGTAGCATCCTGGGACAGTAGCATTTCAGATGCAGATACCGAGTGTGCCTTGGTGGAGACATAGGAGGAAGGCTGGTTGGCATAGAGGGTGAGGAATCCCATATTTCGCCCTTGGAGAAAGATGAAACAGCAGCTTCACTCTGTGCCATTGAACCAGATGAGGGAGCCATCATTGGAACCACTGCTAGGATTAATGGTCAACCCAGCACTGGAACCATGGTCAGAGCTGCTGGCAGAACAGTGGCGTGAGCCCTTCCAAGGCTGAAGGTTAATGGTGTCAGGCCTGTTTTGGGGGCTATTCCTTGCCCTTTCTGAGCACTATTTTCTCAGTGGCCACTATTGTGCATGCCCTTTTGGCTTTCCTCTTAAGGTTGTGGAGCCCCAGCAGCTGCTGGTGGGACTTCAGATGTGTAGGCCACCCATGAAGATGTTGGGTGTTCAGGTGAGGCCATTGTCTCCAATTCCACAGCCATAAGGGTGTGGCACCACGATTATATTTTGAGATGGCTGGTTCAATTCTTGCAAGCCTGTCTGGTAAATGGCTGCCAATGAGGGCAGTAATCTACCCTGTGGTTTTCTCCCACGCCAAAAAGGGCACAGAGAGTGCCTGCCCATCACTGGCATTTTCACCATGCTTTGAATGCCAATCAGGGAGAGAAAAAAGGTGAATTAAAAAGAAAAATAGTTCAGGTGAATAGTTCAAAAAGAGATGGATGATATGAAAGGGGTTGTTTTTTTGTGAATAAGGGTAGGAACAAAGTATGGAGGTAGAAAGTGAGCAAAAGTGATACTTTTGGAGTAGATAGAAGGAAAATACGAGATTTTGCTTAGGTTAAAGATGCTAGGAACAGGTCCAAGGCACCCAAAATGGTGATCAGAAAAGAACTGGGGAAATAGCTGGAGCCCTGCCCTTATATATTAGTGGGAGGGGCTGTGGCTCTCACCAAAATGAGCTTATTAAGGAAAATCTGACAACAGGCCCCACGCAGAAACAGTGCCCATATGTGTGATGCATGGAGACCACAAAGAACACCACTGTTGTGTAAGTTTTCTACTGCCACATCAGAGGACCCTCGTTTTGTGGACATGACTTCCTAATGGTGGCCTTCAGAGCAGCCTTTCAGGGAGCTTAAAATTGCTCCCTAAGGCTGCTATCCTATACATACTTATCTGGGAGTATCACATGAAACTCAGTAGGATTTATCTCTGAAGAGCCATACATGTAATAGCTCTGTAAAACAGAACTAACCAAGTTTCATTTGCTGAAAAGCCACATAATGACATTTATATTACTAACACAGATGAGCATAATATATACTCACAAATAGTTGGCCAAGTTGTGCTCTTGTAAAGTATGCATTTCAAACCCATGGGGTGTTGTGTCAAAATAGTCATTACCAATTCCACAAATAAAACATTTGGTCTAGAAACAAAAAAGACATTTAAATCAAATACATATTATATTTGATTCTTATGAGTAATTACTTTAGAAAAACAATGCAAATCAGTATAGGCTTGTTAATACCTCCATGTCTTCTTTAACTTGCTCCTGTTGGTCCCTTAATTCACCAAAGGCATCAATAATCAGACCTATGTTTGAGTGGAGTTGAAACAGAAGTATAAAGAATGAAACTACCCACATTTTTGAAAAAAAAACCACTTGTTCCATTTGTACTCTTGACAATTAAAAAGTATTGTTTAAAATACATGTCTTTTTCTTTTCAACTAAAGATACATGAAGTAGGCAAGGCTCATAATATGGCTATGGGTTTAAAGCACTATATGGATGCCCAGATAGAGTGTAGCTAAAAAGATAGGAGAGATGCCAAGAAATCCTGCTTGTTCATCTCCATCTGACTGTAACATCAGTCATCATGAAGAATTTTCAGCAATTCCAACCATCAGTATCCAGCTATATAGCATTCATTCTGTGTTGTAACATGTATTAACAATACTTCTTAGATTAGTTATGCCTTTAAAAACCATTTGAAATTGCAGTAAAAAAGAAACACAAAATAATTCATACTTTTACATCATCATTTTATATAACTAGTGTGACTATTATGTGATGGCCAGATGATGAATGTATTCAGAGACTCATTATCTGCAGCAAGTAGTAAACCTACAGCATGGGCCATTGAGGATATGTATCTATTTCCTTGTTTACACACTGAACACAGCTTTCTGGACCTTTTCTAATCTTATTCATTAATACTGCAATAAATGATCTTATGCTACTTAAAGCATGATACTAGAAAAGTCAGATAAAATGAGTAACATTCAACATACCTTGAATGATAGCCAGAAGGATGACAATGACGAAGAAGAAAAATGTGATGTCAAAAATAATTCGATACATTTCATAAGGGTCACCTGCAGGATCTTCAATTTCATCCCCAATGCCTCCACCTGCTCTTACCCCAACATACATATGGAAGAGATAACACTAGAAAGAAGAATTTTACAAACTTTCATGAGAGAGAACTCAACTGCTTTGAATTGTTGTGTGTGTGGCCACTACATTTTATATCACACGCTGGAAAAGGGAAATAAGCTTATGACATTGAAACACAAAGACCATATTCCCACAACATGACAAACCATCATTATAAGTGGCCATGGTTGGTTGCCATGTCATACAGGCTGACTTAGTTTTTCCCCACAAATCACCCTGATAACCTGTGGTTTACGAGTATATTCCTGCTACGGAAAGAAATTGTTAAGTATGGAAATAATTTCCATGCATAGGTAATGTATGCAAAGGGCAAAACTGACAAGGATTTTTACAAGAAGGAAATAGACCTTGATGGGGCTACATCATCATCAGTACATAGCAGACAGGTAGACCTTTGAAATCCTTATAGTAGATTATGCTCAAAAATTCAGCTCTCATACTTTAAGACAGCTTTTGGAGTTATGCATGAGAATTACTCATAAATGAGAATTACTTGAGAAAATGTTCTTTATATCTGTGTACCAAGACATCCAACTTTTTTCAAATAATACTTAAAAAAACATTTACATTGTGTACTATTTAATAATGCTGCCGCACATTTGCTGGTTCTCTTGCACTTGCAAGGCCTACTTTGAGTACAGCAGGAACTAGTGCTTCCTAAAGAAATCCCAGAAACTGGCACCTGCATGGAGCCTATTGTTGGAGAGATTTTCTAGCTAAGTGTTATGGTGGGAGCCCTTTCCCTTTCCCTCCTGAGATATATAAAGGTGGGGCTTCCACCATCTTCTCCAGTTTTTGTGAAACCTTCACTTTGGCCTCAGAACCAGAAAGGGGGAGGCCATTTCTGTCTCCACACCACTGTGGCACAAATGGAAAGGTAAGGGAACAAAGGAAAGAATATAAAGGCTGAAATATATTATGGCTATTAACAGCAATGTGGAGCCGATGGGTAGGTTGTGTGAATGCACAAGTAAGCAACTTCTTTGTGGCCTTTGTGCATCTCAAGTATAGATGACGAGTGAGCTTACCTTGGAATGGAGGTGGAATGGTGTCATCAGCAGAAGACTGTTGATAGGATTGCCCATCCAAAGGAGCAGTCCTGTCTGGCTCAGACATCAAGCAAGTAATGCCAAATAAATGTAGATGGATTGGATCATGTTGCTGCTCTGCATAAATCCTCCACTGGTATTCCGGCATGTACTGTTGTGAATGTAGCCACTATTTGGTACAGTGTGCTTCTGGTTTCTCTGGGAGTTCCAGTCCGGCTAGTTGGTAGACTAGTTTGATGGTTTCTATGATCCAATGAGTGCCACTATGGGATTGCCTTTTGATCATTCAACATACGAGATGAATAGTCCTTTGGATCTGTGGAATTGTTCTATGTTGGACAGGACCCACTAATCAGATGTGATGGATTTCCAGATGGGGAGATGGTCCTTCGGTTGATCCCCAAATGGGAATGGTGGTCTAAAGAGGGGGCTGGTTCAACACTGCCTTTTGTCAATGTCCAGCCTTTGGCTAGTGTATTGAAGACAGGTAGCATTGGGACAGCAAGGACAGTTTGGAGGATACTGTAAATATTGCTGTTGCCCAGTGAGATAGATCCGTTGATTAGGGTAGAAGGGGCAGTAATGTGAAGTGCAGCTCCATGCCCATGAGTCTGAGCTTTATGGATGACGTTCAGTCTCTTGTCAGTTCTCAAATGAAAAAGTCCTGTTCCATTGAACTGCATATTTTCAATGATTGCTCACGTCTCTCGTGGCAGGTTTGCTGCCCTTAGCCATGCATGTCAACATAGTCCCATAAATTCCCTCGAAACGTAGTTGACATGATTTCTTGCCATTGCAGTATGTTGCTTGGAGAGTTGCATTGCTTCTCCAATGGAGACTCTAGCTACCGTGGTACCTTGGCTCACAAATGCCTTGATTCATGTCCAAATCGGGTCACGAACAAAAATTTTATGAAAATTTTGACATGGATTGTGAACTCCGCATTGGGTGGCGACCAAGATAGCAACCATCTCCCCCCTTCCTCCCCCCCCTGAGCGGGGAGATGGCCACAATCGCAGTTGCGTTCGTGCAGGGAAGACGTGCATGATCACGGGAGCACTCCTGCAGGAAAGATGGGCGCGATCTTGTTTATTTATTTATTAAAACATCTTGGCCATCTCCCCTCTTCCAACCAGCACAATTGTGGCCATCTCCCCACCTCCCTGAGTGAGGAGATGGCCATGATTGTGCCCGTCCCTCCATTCCCCAGCGCACCCCGTTTGCGCCCGACTCTCTCTCCCCAGTGCGCCTGCGATCGCGCCTATCTCCTCCCCCCTCCATGCACTGGGATGACAGGCCCATGCAGGGATGACAGGCGCGATCTCGGTCATGCTGTGGGGGAGGGGAGATGGCCACGCTTGTGCTCGGGGTGGGGAGGGGGAATTGGCCACGATCTTTGTTGTTCTTTGTCACTTCGCTTCGCATTTTTCTGTTTTTTTTTAATGGTTACAGAACGGATTAACCTTATTTACATTGAAACTTATGGGGAAATTTAACTTGGCTGACGACCAGTTTGGGTCACAACCAGAGTCCTGGAACAGATTCAGTTCGTGAGCCAAGGTACCACTGTAATTCCCTTTGTTGCTCAGGGAGAAATTTAGCTAGGGGGCTAGGGACTCCATTTGGCTAGGGACTCCATTCTCAGGGAGAAATTTGGCTAGGGACTCCAGAAATTTGGCTAGGAACTCCAAGGGATTGACCTTGGGCAGATTCCGCTATCACCGAGTTTGAGCACAGATTGTGCAAGAGGAACAGGATATCCCTTCTACATGGACCCAGTATAGACTCTAAAGGTGGCATGATGTTGGCCACTGTTGTGTCGGAGCCTTCCATAATCCTTCATAACATTAAGGAGGGCTGGCACAAATGGAATGGCTGCTGAAATTGTGTCCTCTGTCCAGACAATGTCATATATTAGATCTATCGGAGGCTCAGATAGCTGTTGCATCTCCAATCCAAAAGATGTTGTCATACAGAGGACTTGCACAGAGAATCTTCCTAAGTCCTTGGAGGGGGATCCCAGGCCTTGTGATGTTACCATGTCCTCTGGTGACACGGACATTGGGTCTTTATATATCTGTTGGTCAGAGTATGATGGGTAGTCTGCTGGCATAAATGAAAAGGGGGAACAGCTGGATGGAGAGGGTGGTATCTGGGGTGATGGTGCTTGCCATGTTGGCCACTAGAAACTGGAGATATGGGGCATGGTGGCTGCACAGGCACTGGGATCAATAGTGTGGTAGCCCACAGGTCCTCTTGCAAAAGAGGAAAGAGTCCAATATTGGTATAGCATCTCCTCCATCTCAGTTCCCATAGCTGATGTCCATACAGTGCTATTGGTGGCATCCATTGGGGTTCCTTTCCCCAAGTATGCACTGGAGTTCCACCTGAGCATTGGCTAAAACCATGAGAAACTGCCAGGGAAACTGCCTTGTAGGATGGTCTGGGGACTTGTTTTTGGGCTGTTCTGGGTGATCACAGTGTTGTTGATGGGGAATCTCCTATTTCTCCCTCTGAAAATAAGTGCCTAGGTTTTTTGTTTTTGTTTTGCTGGTGAAACAGTCGGTCCATGCTCACCAGTCGCACCTCAGACTGAACTGGTCCCATGTGGGTGAATGGCATTAAGCCTTTTTCTTTGGCTTTCCTGTGGGCTTTTTTTCCCTGCCATTTTGGTGCCACTTATGGTCCCCATTTTGTGGCCGTGTTTGGACCTCTTTTTGGATGTTCTTTGGTTGTTGATGGCCTGGGCTTCATTTTCACAGCTGGCAAAGCCCCAGCAGCTGTTGATGGTTGACAAGTGCTTGAAATTGCCCATGAGGGCCAGAGGTCACTGTGTCAGCAGCCTGAAGTGTTCTTGTTCACATCTCCTGCTAAAGGTAACCTGCCCAATTCTTTCATGCCTTCTTGGCAATGTGGGCAAGAGTCTACTCTGTGATCTTCACCCAAGCAAAAGAGACAGAGTGAGTGCCCATCTGTGAAGGGCATACTGTGGAGGAGCTCACATACTTTTGAAATGCTTCTGTGAATGCCATTGGGAAAAAAGAGCGGGGATTATAGAGAAAGACCATTAATGGTAAGCAGAGAACATGAGGGTGAAATTGAAAGGAGGGCTTTTTATATACTTATGTAAAACAGGGTAGAGTTAAAGCAAAGTGAAGCGTTTTGATGAGGTAAAGTCGAGTAAAAGGGTTCTGAATTGTTAGGTAAAGCTAGGGATAGAATGAATCTGAGGCACCCATGGCAGTCAAAAAATGACCTGGAGAAAATGGCAGGAGCTCCGCCTTTACATACCACATGGGGGAAGGGGGCAGGGCTCCTGCCAAAATGCTTAGCTAGAAAATTTCTCTGACAACAGGCCCCATGCAGGCACAGAGCCCATATGTGTGATTCACAGAGACCACAAAAAAGAATTAATGTTTGCAGTTTCATCAGGAAGCACTAGGTCCCTATTATGTATAGCCCAGGAATGATCTGACAAATTATAGGGCAATTATTAGATGGTCCACAGAATATTTTTGCTCAATTTATTTTAGAAAAATTGGAGGATTTGGTAGAAAATTTTACCTTGCTTTTCTCCAATACAACTGGTTTCGTATACATCACTCAACTCTAGATAACCATTTTATGTTGAATCATATTATTGATAAATATTTGGTTGAAACTGTAAAACAGATTTATATAGATTTGATTGATCTCAAAGCTGCTTTTGATTCTATTTCTCATGACCAGCTCTGGAGAAAATTAAAATCTATGAGCACTGACTCACAGCTCTTAAACTGCATAATGTCTTTGTATTTTGGGACATCCTTGCACATTAGAATTGATGGAAGACATTTATTGACTCTGTACCAGTTCCAAGAAGATTAAGACAAGCAGTTTACTTGTCCAGCTTCTTTGTAATTTATTTTAAAATTATCTAGTAGAGTCCTGAAGAGGCCACTGTTATTTTACAGTTAAAGTGGGTAATCAGAAATATTTGGTCCTTCTTTATGTGGATGATGCTACCTTAATTTCCTACACCCAACAGAACTTACAAAGATTGATGAACCAGTTCCGCTTATTTTGTAAGGAATGAACTTTTTTCTGTTAATTATACAAAATGATATTTGGTAAATCTAAGAAAAATCTTAAATGGGCACTTAATGGAAATAAACTGGACCAAGTATCCTCCTTTAAGTATTTTGATGTGGGTCTTCCACTGGACCAGGAGCATGGTCTTTATCAGTACAGTCAAGCACCTTGTTAACTGGTAGGACATTAAATGGATGGTTAGGCTTTTATCATACAAAAGCGGGTAATCTGGTGCAGACCATTCTGGACTTGCATAAGACTGGAGCTGGAGTCCATTGTGGGCTAGGACCTATTTAGAATCATTAGAAAGTGGTCAAATAAATTTCTGCATAGACTTTTGGCATGTCTGCCTCTATAAAACTAGAATTGGTTCATGCAGAACTTGGTGGAATAACTATTAAAGCTTAAGTTCTTAGATAAGCCTTGCTATTTTGGTTACAAATAATGTTTAAGCAAGTCTCAGAGTTTATTCTGGAATTATTTGAAGAGATGGGCCCGAATTAATGGAAGCAAAAAATATATGTGCTGAGCTTGGGATTCTCTATCTGCTTTCTTTTAGCTCATAATATGATAAGAGCTAAAGTGATACTGCTCCAAAAGCTTAAGGATTCTAATTTTAGGAACCTTGGATTAAGGCCTGTCATTATAACAGCTTTTATTTTTCCTTTATTCTTCATACCTATCTCTTCCAAAATATTTGGTTGACTTGCCAAATATTAAAATGAGGGTAGCCCTTACTAGGACAAAATGAAATGTACTTCCTTTTGGTAGATTGGGTGGGTAGTCATAAAAGAGTTTCTAAGAAGGATACAGTATGTGGTTGCAATTTTGCATCAGCAGAAAATATTGTTCATGTACTCCTACAATGCTCTATTTATAATTATCTTAAACCTAAATCTACTCATCCATTGTTAAAATAATTGTTGAAGCTCATATTTCATAAAAGTTTGTAGCTTTTTGTCTAACGCTGACAAATACATCTTTTAAAACACCTAAATTTCTTGTCTATGGTTTACAGATGTGAATGATGAAATTCAAACAAGATAATGAGTACTATATACCTTCTGGGGGTATATTAATAGAGTTTTAACTGTGTATAATGGCAAACTACTGAGATACAATGAACTTAATCTCTTCTTGGCACTAGTGCTAGAAAATGGGCAGTATTGGATATTTCCCATTATGTCAAACTCTGGCCTTTTAATTTAAACATATGCTCATTAAAAATATATTGAAATCAAATCCTAATTTAATCCCAGCAACTCAATTTAAAAAGTAGGCATATGTAAACAGGCATTCCGTGTGCACTGATTACACCCATACAAGATTGTTGCACTTTGCATGGGACTTTCTGGTTTAAAAACTTCAGCTAATGAAAAATCTTGACAAAGGCTCAACATTCACATGTTGTTGGAATTATTGCCTTAGTTGTTAAGTTCAGCTATCACTGCTTTATTTTAGATGGGAGCTGAAGAAACATATAGTTCAGACTTTTAACTAAACAGAGAGTGTGAGAGGGAGACCTCTTGGAGAGCATCTGCTATTGGGTGGTATTCAAATTAATTAATTAATTAGAAACTATACATTCTTATTTGTTCTTACTGGCCTTACTTTTAGAGGTGGTGGTGGAGTCACGGGCTTACAGAAAATGAAATAGTCTGATCTTAACTGGGCTGAATTCAGATGTAATCATATTTCAAGTATACCCATTGAAATAAATGGGACTGAAGTTAGAAATGGCTAAATTAGGTTTCATTAATTTCAATGGGACTGTTCTAACTTTTGACTAAATCTGAATCCAGAGTTTTTCTGGGGTGAACCAACAAAATCCGAGAGCATTCTTCAGATTGGATACAGCAGTGGGAGGAATAAGGGGTTACCTGTGCCAGTGAAAGCAGCCACTCTTCTTACATACAGAGTTAGGGTTAGCACAAGCCTACTTCTGCTTAATATAACAGGGGGAGAAAGCAGGATGGGTGAATGAGCTGAGTCCCCTTTTCTCCTTCCATCAGAGAAAAAAAGGGGAACTCAGATGCTTCACTTTTGTTCACCCTGCCACTTTCCCATATACTATTCAATAATAATATTATTATATTATGCTGTAGATTCAATTTCAAGCTTAATATTTAGTTTATTGTTGTTGTTGTTAAATTACTATTACTATAACTATTGATGTTGGTGTTATATTTAAAACATAGTATTTACCACAGGGCCATGCCTTGTTTGATTAAAGTGTCTATGTATAGATGACAAATGAGCAGATGTAATATTCCTATTAATATGGTTTAAATGTGTCTCCGTATATCTCCTGACTCCATATAGCCCTACCAGACCACTAAGACCTTCATTGGAGGTCCTTCTCCGAGAGCTACTACTTAATGAAGTGAGGGAGGAAACAGCTAGGAGAATCTTCTCTGTGATTGCACCCCACTTATGGAATGCTCTCCCTAAGGAAGTGTAGTTGACATCCTCATTAATTGTCTTTTGCTGCCAGGTTAAGACCTTACTATTTAACATGTTCTTTTAGTAGTCAATTGGTTTTTACTCTGTTATCCTCTTGTTGTTCACTTGTTATGTTTTCCTGCATAAATATCACATTTTATTTTTGTTGATTTTGTTGCTCTATTGTTTTATCATTGGTTGTTCTTTTTTTTAAAATAGTAAGCCAATCAGAGAGCCCTTTGGGCTATAGGGTAACATATAAATATAAGTTTAAGAAATATAATACATAAATAATGTGCCTAGAATATCAGTATTCAGTAATTACTGCATAACAGAGACTTCATTTTACTTTTTCAGGGCACAATCCTAAACATGATCCTAGGCTTAGTGGCATTTAAAATTGAAAAATTCATACTTACAGTCATCATGTCATCACACTTCATGTCAGGCTCATCCTCATCTTCACTCTTGTTATAAAATTTGCGGAAAAAGTTGAATGCTACAACAGTGTAAAGGTATACCACTACTGCTAAGAGTCCAACGGTCAATACAAGCTGTAAGTATGTAAAATAAAACATAGGGGGTGGGGAGACAGTATTTATTAATTTTTAATTTATTAGTATTAATAAATTGCTTACATAAAAAGATTTCAAAGAAGTACACCCAATCCACAAAAACATAAAAATGAAGAACAATACATAAAATACTAGGTAGTAGATCAGATGATAGGCTACACATACAGGGAAGGCTGAAAACTCTATTGCTATATATAAGTATCAGCTAGAATCATAAGCCATTAAGATGTGGAAAATTATGATTTCCTAAAATAGCAGGATTGGAATATTTTGAATTCTATGTGGTTAACATGTAGTAAGACAAGCAAAACTTGAAGTTAGAGATTATATCTGCTGCTTTGACTGGCTTTCAGCCATTTTATTTTACACACGTTCGGTTCTGGCCATCATTTAGCAAGTTGTTAATGTGGAGTGACTCCCCATATGGGGCAGTTTTCTCCACACAATATCATTATAGCATCCCACTGCCAACCCCAAAGGGACTGAACCTTTGTAAAGATGTATTTAATAGGCTTACAAATTGTCCAGTTTTTCCATGTATTTTTACCTATCTCAAGGCCCAGAAACTTACTTCGCATCAAGGAAAGGCAGAGGCTGCTTCCAGGACCCTAGTGGAGCATCTTATACAGAGAATTATGTAACCTAAACATTCTGGATTGAATAAACTGAAAAACAGTTTACTTGTTAATAGGTGACAGGTTACTTCTGCTATACTACTTGCTCTTCATAGCTAATGGTGATGTAACCATCTGCTCTGAAGACAGATATAAAATGAAACATCCATAGTCCATTGGCCAGTGGCCTCAGAAGCAAAATGCCTAGGCAGTGCTTAGTGTCATTGAGAAGAAAATGTGCTTGAAGTTAAAACCTTGGGCATGTTTTAATACCAATCTTAAATTCAGTTCTAACATTAAAGTCTGTTATGCCCCTGTAGTCAGGTCTAAAGTACCCGGAGGAGGGCTTTCCTGCGGTGGCGCCCAACCTATGGAATTCACTCCCCAAAGAGGTCCGCCTGGCACCGTCGTTACTGGTTTTTCGGCGCCAGGTAAAGACCTTTTTATTTAAACATCATTTCAATTGTTAAAACATATGATCTGGCCAGGGCAACTTCTTCTTCCTTCTCTTTCTCCCCCTATATTTTTATTTTATACTGATAATTTTAATTTTATATTTGTAAATCAATGTATTTTTTGTATTTTTATATTTAATGGTAATTTATTATGTACTATTGTATTTCAATGTATTTTATCATGTTGTAAGCCGCCCCGAGGTTTCGGCAAGGGGCGGCATAGAAATGTTATAATAATAATAATAATAATAATAATAATAATGAGAAGGGCCAAGTTCTGGGAGAGATTTGGTGATATCAGTTCAACTAATGCAGAAAGTGAGCCTGAAGAAGCCACCATGGTACTGGGAGTTTGGCTCTTAAGAAAGCAAGACAGGTGGAGGTACCAAAACAGAACACAAGATCCTTGCAGGCAAGGCTGCAGAGAAGGCAAAGCCCACATGGAAGATTCAGCTTCCGTAAAAGCAAAAAGTAATGGGTGCTTCCATAAAGTTGTCTTCTGATGCATCAAACAACTGCCTATCTACTGGTTGCACACTTAATCATTGCTCCTTTATGTATTTCACCACATAACAGCCAAACAAACAAAAGACAACATGGTAGCGGCATAGCCATCCCTCCTCCCTTGATAAGCCTTAAGTTGGGGGCACGGGGGGACCCATTGCTTTTGTGAGCACTTGTCTATACTACAATGAACTGTGAAAATAGTAACACTAATCCGTATACAATTAGGAATGTGTTTGTTATATTGTTATGGAAATATAAGATCTTGAAATAAATGATTTCATTTGCATAAAAAGGTTAAGTGTTGACAACATGCATAAGTGAGCGATTGCAATGAAATACTGCTGCTTGACAAAGCATGGGAGAGAAGCCAGAACAGATAAAAATTGGTAATAGTCCTGTTTCTTCAAGAAAAAATAAGGAAAAAACCAAACCTTAGAAAGATAAGGCATATACTCTGAAATTTGTTGTAGAGTCTTTGGTATATGAAATAGAATGGTAGCTAAGGTAGGATCACTGGGACCAAAGCTGTAGTGCCGCACTTCAAGTTTGCATTCAGTATGAAAATTGTTGCTCTTTTGAGAGGGAGAAAATGTCTGGAGCTTTTCATGAGTCTAGAATAGGACTGGAAGAAAGTGGATGCTGTTTGAACAGTAAATGCTTTAGGAATTTAATCAGAAATGGAGGATTCCTTCTAAGTGTTTAACTTAAGATACAGTGTCTTCTTTTAGAAATATTAATTTCTAAAAGAAATATTAAGAAACAAAATATTAATATTAAGATGATTAAGAAACAAAAGCTGAGTATAAGCCAATGAAGCTATGAGGATGCAAAAAGAACAAATGCTATTTTGGATTGTGTTAACAGAAGTAGAGCCTCTAAATCATGTGAGGTACTGAACACCCTCTATTCAGCATCAGTTAAAATCCATCTTGACTATTGCATCCAGTTCTAGACAGCACAAGAAGGAGGTAGACAAACTGGAGGGTATTGAGTGGGCCAGGGATCTGTTACAAAGATTGAGGACAGATTGAAAGAACTGAGCATGTTTAGTCCATAGAAGACTGAGGGGACATATGATTGAACTTTTCAAATACATTAAACACTTTCACAGAGAGGACAACCAGGATCTCTTCTCAATTAGAGTGCAGGACACAGAATAATGGGCTCAAGTTACATGAAAGTGCATTCCAAAAGTTAACATCAGGAAAACTTCCTGACTGTTAGAACAGTACAGCAGTTGGACAGCCATCTTTTGGGGATGCTTTAACTCTGAGTCACCATTGAGTGGTCTTATAAAACCCTTCCAACTCTACTATTCTAAGTAATGACTCATGTAATTAATCTATTGAAATCTCTGAACGTTCCTTCATTAAAAAACAAAAACATTTTTAAAAACAGCATTTAAGAGCTGGTTTTCAATTTTCTCTCAGGTGTTTGATTCTTCTTCCTGCACTTTGAAAAGATACCACAACACATAGCAGGCTTCCCCTCATTGGTGCCTTCCAAACGTTTCAGGCTACAACTCCCAGTATTCCTAACCATTGACCATGCTGACAGGTGCTGATGGAGTCCAAAATAACTGGAGGACACCATGTTGAGGAAGCCAGCTATATAGCATTTATCAAATATGACTACCATTTACTGCATTTTATCATCAGTCTTTATATATTATCATATAATATATATTTATATATTATCATATGACATTACTGTTGTTACAATTTAAGCAAATGGAATTCCAACTGATTATTAGACATTTCATTTTTCACTAGCAGAATTTATTTTACGGACATGCATTCTATTATCAGGAACTCACCTGTTTGCCATTGTGGGTTACAGAAGACAAGATAGTACGTAAGGTCTTAAAACCCATAGCAATATCCAGTAAGTGAGCAGCAAAGAAGAAGTTGTTGTAGTGGCCAAGGATGGACATAGTTGTGTACCAAGCTAAGTACAGGAAAGACTAAACAAAACATGAAATGTCAGGGATCAATGGAATAATATCTTTTCTATTCCAATTTTGTGAGAATTTTTATTATTAAAATTTATAAAACTATTTTGTACCAGTGTACACAAATTCTCTATATAGCAGTTAACCACAAATACTTAATACCTGAGTTAAAACCTCAACTATGAAGTCGATATAATGGTCTCCAAGAAGAAGAAAAGGAAGACTAAATATGATATGGATTGGATCCATAAAGGAAACCACTGCCTGGAATTCACAAGAGCTGTCATATATAGGACATTTTGGAGCACTGTCATTCATAAGGTTGCCATAAGTCAGAGGTGAGCTTATGGCACATCACAACAACAACACAAATTCTCCCTAGGAAGATTATTTCTATAAGAAGTTGTTTGTAGCTTGCAATCATAGTGAGCTTGAGCATTGCACTCATCATCTGAATGTTAGTATTTTTCAGGTTTGATCCAGAGATGTGCTAGTGGAAGATATCCTGTCAGTGGTGGTTCTGTTCTATGAATGGTTGTGCAACAGCAAGCTGAAGGTACTGTGGACCCTTGTTCAAGAGTGCAGTCATTTAAGCATTTAAGCTAATCATTTAAGCTTTCTTCAGAAGGCATTGCACAATCTCTGTGCAAGATGAGGCATACATCTGGAATACAGTTCAGTTTTCTTGCAGCAGAATTGTGCAGTATGTCAGAAAATGATCTTCCCTGAATGGAAGAGGCCTTTTACTCACAAGAAGTACATCTCTGGATCCAATTTGCTACATTTAAATATTGCTGTTCTATTCCTTCAATTTATACATGTGTTTAATCATGGTTGCTTTAGATGGTAGTAACTCCAAGCTGTTATCTCACAGATGAAACAATGTGAAAACAAATTGGAAATTACTTGCTGAATAATTTAAAAGTTAATATAGGGCCATTTAACATAGCTAGAGGGTCTCAAGATTGAAATGGTCAAGAAAATGTATTAGACAAGATTAAACAGAAAACCAATAAAATGACACGTGATAATCAAATATCTACTTAAAAGTGACGAAATATAAAACAAATTGCAGAAGTTGAAATGGATTGATCACTGCAATGCTTCCAATGACTCATTTCTCCTTTGATTCATCACGATTTAATATTCATTCAGTAAAGTGCTGGAGAACCACATCATTGACCTATCCCTAATGTGCTAAAACATAGCTTATTTCCCCTATTCTCAAAAAACAAACACAGAATACAAATACCAGAGAATACAAATACCCTTGACCCATTCCCACTCTCTAATAGGGCCAATCTTTCTTTTCCTTTAAATGCTGCCTAGCATCCTCTTTATCATGTTCACTCTTGCCACATTTCAGTCCATGTTCTATCTTCTGCACTTCAGTTAAATTGACCTTGGTAACAAGCTCCCTGCCAAATCTTAACATCTCCTACCTTTTCCTTCTTCTTGACCTTTTCTCCTTCCTTTGGTATGGTTGACTGCGGTTTCTTCTGTAAGCCTTAGACTTCTATAACTCTTTGTAGGTAGCTATCTCAATCACAGATAACTTCTGTGGACTTTCCACTAATGGATCTCCTCCATCAGTCTTTCCCCTCCCATGTGTGAGCTTCTGAGGAAGCGTTAGGACTCCATCTTCTGGCCAGAGACAAGAATAGCAACCCTGGTGTTTGTAGAACTGGGCCCACAGTCAGTCGTGGCCACCTGGGCTGTTAGGAGCACCACCTGGGAGCCCTGAGGGAATAGCTATATAAGAACCGGCTCTTCCCTCCAGATGTGGCTTCAGTAGCAAAGGTCTTTGATGTTGTTGGACTTAGCTGTGTTTAGGGTTTTTTTGAAGAGGGGAGGGATTCTGCCTATCACATTGCTCCTGCCTCTGCTTCTGGACCTTGCCTGGCTTCCCAGTCTTTACCTGTTCTACCTTCTGCTCCAATCTCAGGTCTCTACTTCTCGGCTTGTCTCTCTGGCTTTCAACTCCTGACCAGCTTTGACTATTCTTTGCTATTTGGACTGACTTACCTTGTACTTCTGTTACTGGCCTTGACCTCTGGACTGCTTGACTGCAATTTGGAATAGGCCTTTGTAGTGTACTGGTTGTCTGGGTCCTGGTGCTCTGATCTGACCTAGCTGCCCACACCCTGGTCTGTGACACCTTGGCATTCTGTTCTGGGTTTCCTTTTATTTTCTCCACTTGCGTGACCTCATCAAATTCCATCCTTCAGTACTACAGATATGCTGATGACATCCAACTGTACCATTTAATTTCAGACCTTTCCACCTTCCATCTAGTCAGACAGCTTTGTTTCTCTGATTATTATCTCTAAATCAGCATGTCTATGAATGACCAAATTATCTTTCTTTCCAGCTCTCCCTTTTTTCATTTGCTCTCTTTCTGTCTCTTGATGATAACACCATTCACCCTGTTGGATAAGCAAACTGCCTTGAGTTTGTCCTTGAGCTTCCTCTAGTCTTTGGTCCCCATATTCAGTCAACTGTTGTGTAACTTCTCCAGCACCATCTTACAAAAATGTGCCTTGATCCCCTCAAGTAATAAAGCTGACTAATGCTCTGGTCACTTTCTACCTTGACTACTGCTGCCTTCTCAGGTGTGTTTTACACCTCAGTTCTCCCACTTTTATCCAAAGCTCCATTGCAAGAACATTCACCTTTTCCTTTGCTTGCAATATATACTGCCACTTTTCTTCAGAGCCCTTTGATGCTTCACATTTTTTAATCTATTACAAACTCCCTAGAACAGTTTTTGATTAGAACAACTGTTCTGGGCAGTCTGTGATAAAGTCTAAGTGTGAGTCTAGGAGTAAAGATGTCTATGATATGTCTAGGATCAGGCCTCAGGCTTATGAGGAACAATGGTCATTAAAGAAGCTTACAGCTGTTAGTGAAACAGCTGCTTGCATAAACCACAATGATAAAATAGGGGACAGAACATTTAAAACTAACAAGCATTTATACATGTGGGCCCCTATTCACATTAAAAATCATATGCATTGCTCAGAGGGGATGCACGAGTTCAAGCCTTGTTCCCTACTTATCCACATACCCTGTGTGAAGCAGATATAAGAATAAGGAAGCAGAGGATTTTTCAAGGGAAGTACTAAATACTTACATTATCTGTGAAAACTACACCAAGCTTCCAGATATGGTACTTGGCATCAATAGAACTTAACCTAATAGAGTACAAAATAATTTGAAATTAATTAATGCTGTAATTGATTATTTAATTTTAGCACAAGCATTCTTTCTCACACTTATTTTTGATAGTTTTTTCCCCAAGCACTGATGTATGATAAAATATTTTAAGACTTATGCAGAGATGTACTGAGTATACATTTCAGCTCTGAAGATTTATTCATTAATTTGTTATATCTAAGCTCCTCTCCATTTTATCCTCCCAACAAACCTGTGAAATAGGTTAGGTGGTGAGTCAGTGACTGGCTCAAAGACATTCAGGGAAACATAGAAACAGAGCAAGTCAGAAGGGGTCTCCTGGGCCATCTAGTCTGACCCCCAGCTCCAGCCGGCTCCACCCACAACATGCCTACCATGTGCATGTCCAGCCTATGTTTGAACACCCTCACCGATGGGGCCTCAACCAGGAAGCTTCATCTCAGAGCAAGGACTAGAATCCGGAATACCCCTGGTCAAGTCCAGCATTCTGATCATTGCAACATCCTGGCTGTCATCTGCTTACCAGCTGAACTTCAAATTAATACTAATGGTATGTGTTTGAATATCATATATACTTCATAGGGTTTTTGTTGAGGATTAAATATATGTAAGCCACCTCAGGTTCCTTACAGGGTGGGTGGGGAGGCAGGATATATATGTATCATCATTATCATCATCATTCTGATTTCAGTGCTGATCCTTAGGAAGCCAAAATGTCACCAGCTACAGAGAAGAGGGAATTGTCAGCAGGCCTAAGGAAATCCCCAAGATTTGCAAAAGTACAACATATCTTTAGAAAACAACCAGGGGGGAGAGCTCCACAAAATAGCCTATTAAGGACTAAGCAGGCTCAGTGGACAAAGAACGGACTTGGGGGAGCGGGTGAAATAAGAGTAAGGGGGATAGAACAGAGTTTCCTGGAAACAGAAACTGGTTGACTGGAATACTGAGAAGAAACACTCCACACTGTGATATTTTGTTGCTAGTTCCACTTGTACTTAATGTGTCTTGGTTTATACTTCCCCCAGACCAATGTCATGCATCATAGTGATTATGAACTTTAAACAACAGTACTGCTACTCATAGTCCCTTCTTTTTCAGACATTAATATGTGTTTTCAACAGGATACTGTGTCAGTGCAAGTCAACTTCATGTATACACAGGACAGGGTTGCCAAGTGATATGGTTATGCCATGGGGAGCATCATTAACAGAATTATCTTTGCATAAGTATGTGTAACTTCTGAAAACACTCTCTGTTGGCTGTACTGTTTTCAAAATGAGCACTGTTGGAACTGTTTAATTGTTGTATATTACTCTGAGCATTCTGGTGGTAAAACAAAAAAATCTTAAACTTTAGAAAAAAATAAAATGTACTTGATAAAAAAGGAGCTGGAATAGTAAAGAATTGATAACAAATTTAACAACTGCAGCAAGATTAATTATAGCTAAGAATTGCAAAATAAAATAAGATTACCAATTGTCAGGTATAGAGAAGTTTGGAATATAGCTATTAATGACAAAATAACATGAGAATAAAGTGAGAAAAGGGAATATAAAGAAAAATAAGTTTAATGATACTTGGGGTATATTTTTTATGTTTTTTAAAAAGAGAAAAAAGATTCAAGCCTTCAAAATAATCATTCCAGTTTGGAAGGGAAGAATGTCCTGAAATGTTTGAATGAGGTTGTTCTTCTGATTGTAACATGTATGAATAAATGAATATGTGACACTGAAGTGGGGTTGGTGGGAGGGTTGTGGATGCACAAATGACCACTCAATGAACAACAGTTGCAGGTAAGCAATCTGATTTTCTTCCTCATGGTCCTTGAGCATCACACATATGGGCGCCTAGAAAGTGTACCTCTTATATGGTCAATGGCAAGGCTGAATCATCAAATGGCCAAGGAGAATATTGCTGTCCCAAAGAAACAGTCTGCCCTTGTGTAGATACAATGCCTGCAATACTTGACAGACACTACCTTGTCCTTTGGAAGACACAAAGCTCTCTTGGCAGGCTGATGTGATGCATGTGATGGAAGCATCAGGTCAATAGTTGCTACTGGTTCTTGTAAGCACCTGTAGCACTACTGACAGCTCAGTGTGAGAGGTCCTGGTGTGTGTGGGTGGGGCACTACATTGTAAGAATTATTTCAGTTGTGCTGCCCAGAGACCCACCCTAACTGCTGGAATGCTGATTGGCTACTGCTCCCTGCCTCATGGGAAAGCTGCTGCTGCAGCACTGCTGCCTCACCCTCTGGAGCTGGTCTCAGGCAGTGGCTGGGCCACAAGGGTGATCTGTCAGCTCCAAGGACATGGAAGGAGGCGGGCCAAGGGTGGGGGCTCTATTAGGGTCTTTTTAGCTAGGTGCCTTCACATGCAGTGTCCTTGGGCCCCATTTGGGGCGTGCTTGGGGCATTCTTCCCTCCTTTCCCCACACTCCCTGTCACTTTCCCCCACAGTAGATAACTGTTATTGCAAACTAACTGGAGGAAGGTCATTAGAATGGTAAAAAAACTGAGAAGGAATACAAGATTGTTGGAAGTTGAGAGGGTTGGTGGATGTAAGGTTAATGAAATGGTTGTATGAATTTCTCATTGATGGATTTATTGGTGGAGTATTGATAGTAGAACTGTGTGGGTGTTATAGTGAATGTAGATCGATTGTTGGATATCGAAGGGATGTATAATAGAGGTTGAATAACTGGCGTGAAGGTGTTGAGTAGTTTGAGAAGTAGATAAAACTGAAATGGTTCTGAGTAAAGTTTGATAGCACCTACAGTTTTAATTAACACATTGGCTACGGCAATGGCTCCAGAGGGCTCTGGGGAGCAATGGGGTGCCACTATTCAGGTAGTCATGGGTAGAGGAAGGTACAACATTCGGGAGAAGCTGGCATGGGAAAAGAGAGGACTGATTCCTCCTCTAGTTTCTTCCTTATCCAGAGGAATTCAGATAAGGGCAGGTTGTGTCATGTGCCAGGCGTCCCATCCCAACTAAGACAGGCACTTCAGCAATTCTTGGAAGAATCTTTATTCTACACAGGAGTCAGAGCGTTCACAAGCCTCAGAGCATACACAAGGAGAAGTGTTGACCCCTCTCTGCCCCCCCTTTACCCAAAGCTTTGCCTCGGGGCTATAATCTGGAAGGCAGTGTGCTGTGAAAGTACATGTGTCGTCTCTCTGCTCTCAACAAGAAAATCTTCCTGAACTTGGGCACTGCACAGGTGCAGCACCCATGTGTGTGATTCACAGAGACCACAAAGAACCACCATCTCAACCTGCCCTCAGATATGATGCTGCCACTTGTTAACACCAGATCAGTCCAGAATAAAATCTCGCTCAGAGGGCTGACAGGGCCTGTATTACAGAAACCTGCAGTGGTGGCAGGAGATGTATCACATTTATGCCCAGCTGGGTATTCTGTGCAGTACCAACATCCCCTCATTGTCAGGAAGGGGGAGTGGCTGTAATCTATAGGAGTGATCTTGGTCTCACAAGCCTTCCTGTCTATTCAGAGAAGGGTCTTGAGTTTCTTCCCATTGTGTTAGGCAAAAGAGACAGACTAGGAATTATTTTAGTGTGCTGCCCACCTTGCTGCACTATGGACTCCCTATCTGAGCTGTCAGTGTTGATCTCTGGCCTGACATTGAGGACTTCCAGGATACTTGTTTTGAGGATCTCAATATTCATGCAGGACTGCTTTATCTGGGGCAGCTCACAACTTCATGTCCACCATGACAACCATGGGGCTGTCTCAACATATCATTGCACCCATGAAAAGGGATACACTCTTGACCTGGTTTTCTCAACTAGGCAGGAGGATGCTGATCTGGAGGTGGAGGGTACAAAAATTAATCTTATGGTCAGATCACTTCCTCATGAGGTTTAGACTTGCAGCCTCTCTTTCCCTCCGCAAGGGTGGAGGACCCATTAAGATGGTCCACCCCCACTGCCTAATGGTTTCCATAAGCTCTGGATTTTCCAGTTGATATGGTTGGCACTCCTGTTGAAGTCCAGGTTGCTTTGTGGAATATAGAAGTGACCTGGGCAATGGACACAATCACACTTAAGCCCCCTCTCCCACTA